ATTCCAGCTGCTCCAGGTCAGGGGCGGGGCCTGGGGACACTGGGGCGGGGCCGGGGATTCCAGCTGCTCCAGGTCAGGGGCGGGGCCTGGGGACTCCGGGGCGGGGCCGGGGATTCCAGCTGGCTCCAGGTCAGGGGCGGGGCCTGGGGACTCCGGGGGTGGGGCCAGGGGACTCGGGGGCGGGGCCGGGGGATTCCAGCTGCTCCAGGTCAGGGCAGACCCCAGAGCATCTCATGTTAGGGGCAGAGCACCTCGTGGTGGGGGTCTTGTGTCGGAGGGAAGCCTGGGGAACTCCCAGCCCTGGGGATGCCCCATGTCCGCCTTGGGGGCCTGCTCCCCCCCCCACCCAACCCCGGTTCCGGTCCAAGGGCTGAGTCTGTTCGGTGGGTAAAGAGGGGCCCGGCCGCTAGCAATGGGGAGCCTGATTGGCAGGAGCAGCTGGGGGGGGGGAAACGTGTCCTCAATTAACCCCTTCATTGCCGACCGCCCCTTCTCTGCACCTCAATGGGGCCCTTAACGCCTTCCCTGCCCCCACCCAGTTTGCCCCTGGAATGTCATAGACAGAGCTCAGTGAGACTGGCTTCCAACTGCGGTGATCCCTCGCGCCGGCCCAGCGTCGCCCGCAGCCGGCTCTCGCTGAGGGGGTGGAGCATGGCAGGAAGCCGCGGATGCACCCCACATCCTGCAGCAGCAGGCCCCCGCCCCCCGCCGAGCGCATCGTGTCTCGCTTGGCGTCTGCTCCCCCAGGCTGTCTCTGGCGCCCAGCGCGCAGGTGCTGTAACCATCCAGCCTCCTGGGGCTTTCCACAAAGCTGCTGCTCTGGCTTCCCGTCGAACCCGCAAAGCACTCGGCGACACGGCGTGGGAGCCCCCTGCCCCCCCGGGGCTGGGTGCCATGTGCCCCCTTCCCACCCCCACGGAGACTGGCGCCAGGCGCTGCACAGACACCCCAAGAGTGGGTCCCTGAACAGACAACCGGGGGGAGGGGAGAAGGATGTGCTAAAGGTCACAGCCGATCTGTGGCAAGTTGGGGATTGAACCCAGGAGTCCTGGCTCCCAACCCCCTCTTCCCCCGCAAGCACTAGCCCCCACTCCCCGCCCAGAGCCCGCCTAGAACCCAGGTGTCCTGACCCCATGCTCACAGGCCTGCATCTCTCCCCGGCAGGTGGACCGGGAGAAAACCTCCCTGGCGGCTGATGTGCAGGAGGCCCGGCGGCAGCTGGACAGCGCCAGGGAGGCCTTGACAGAGCAGCAGCAGCGCAACGGCCTCCTCCTGGAGCAGCTCAAGGCCAGGCCGGCGTCCCCGGAGCCCCGGCCCTGGCAGGACCTGGTGGCGCAGCTGGAGGGGCAGCTGCGGGCCTCCCGGAAGCTGGCAGGGGAGCTGCAGGCCCGGCTGGCCCAGGCCCAGGAGGAACTGCTGGGGCTGACGGAGGAACTGGCCACCCTCTACCACCAGGTCTGCGCTTGGCGTGGCCTGACACCGCAGCGGGTGGTGCTGGATTATTACCGGGACGGGCGCGGCACCAGGAGGCCGGCGGGCAGGAGGGAGCCAGCGGGCAAGCCCCGTCTCCAGCCGGAGCCAGGGGCAGGGCCCTGCGGGGACCAGTCGCCCCCCGGCTCACCCGGGGAGCCCCTCAACGTCTCCAACCTGGCGGTGGTGCTGCGGGAGCAGCTGGGGCACCTGCAGGGGGCGCTGGTCCTGTGGCGGCAGCAGCCCCCCAGGCAGGGCCCGCCGGCCGCCGAGCTGGAGCGGGACAAGGAGGCGCTGGCTGAGGAGGTGCTGAAGCTCCGCTCCTTGCTCGGCACCAAGCGGGAGCAGATCGCCACGCTGCGCACCGTGCTCAAGGCCAACAAGCAGGTGGGTGCGCTGCGGGGGGCTCGCTGGGCCCCTGTGGCTGCAGGTGGGAGCTGTGTGCGTGGGGCACGCAGGCCCAACCGACTCCCCCCAGATGCGGTATGTCCAGGTACATGGGGGGCATGGGCCCCTCCAGCTTTCACCCCCCATCTCCTCCAACCGCAGAGGCTGTGTTTGGGAGGGTGTGTCTGGGTGCGGGGGGGGCGGGCCCATCCAGCTCTCACAGGGTGTGTCTGGGTGCATGGAGGGGAGGGGGGGTGGCCCCATCCGTCTCTCACCCCCATCTCCCCCCAGACGGCTGGGGGTGGGGGGGTGTCTGGGTGTGTGGCGGGGGTGGGGGCCCATCCTGCACTCACCCCCCATCTCCCCCCAGACGGCGGAGGCTGTGGGGGTGGGGGGGTGTCTGGGTGTGTGGCGGGGATGGGGGCCCATCCTGCACTCACCCCCCATCTCCCCCCAGACGGCGGAGGCAGCGCTCTCCAACCTGAAGGGGCAGTACGAGGGGGAGAAGGCCCTGGTGTCCGACACCATGCTCAAGTTGCGCCGTGAGCTGAAGGCCCTGAAGGAGGACGCCACCACCTTCTCCTCCCTGCGCGCCATGTTTGCCAGCAGGTGAGGGGTGCCCCCGGACGGGCACAGCGCTGGAACTGCCCACCAGGAAGCGGGGCTGCTGGGCAGGGTTGGGGCTACTTGGGGGCGGGGCTGTCCCATTGGCCTGGGGCTAGCCATAGGGGACGAAGCCAGGGCGGGCGGAGCCCCCAGCCAGCCCCCCTGACCCCCTGCGTCCCCCAGGTGTGACCAGTACGTGTCCCAGCTGGACGAGATGCAGCGGCAGCTCGCGGTGGCGGAGGACGAGAAGAAGACACTGAGCTCCCTGCTGCGCATGGCCATCCAGCAGAAGCTGGCGCTCACCCAGCGCCTGGAGAGCCTGGAGAGCCCGGCCCGCGGCACCAGGGCCAGACCCCGCAGCACCAGGAGCACCGCGGTACGGCACAGGCCAGCCCCAGCCTCTTACCTGGCCCCAGGTGGCACAGAACCAGGACGGGCCTCTGGAGGCCCTGGCTGTACCTCACAGCCACGGTCCTGTCCCAGACCTTGGGGCCAGAGGGGGTCCCTCATCTCCTGCCCCCAGGGATGGCAGCCTGGATCCCCAGCGGTTGGGGGGCACGGGCTGCTGTGCTCCTGACCCCCCCCGACCCCCCAAAGCCCTTTGCTGGGTTGGGAGTTGAGGTGCCTGGAGGTGTCTTTCTCCTGCTCTCGGAGTGAAGGGCTCAGGCACCTCTCCCTGGCTGCTTGTTATCCAGCCATGGGGCCTGCACCCTGGCTAGTCTCTGCCCCCCCAGGCAGGGAGGGGGCAGTGGGGCTGAGCTGTGATATCAGTCCCAGCCTGGGGGTGGGGATCGGTGCCGTGGGGGTGGGGGTATCCCCTTGGCTCTGCTCCGAGGGTAACTGGGCTCTTCCCACACAGCACTGACACCGTGGGCGCGGCCTTGCAGAGAAACCCGTGGGATCGGCGCCAAGCAGAGCCAGCGCCGGGCCCAGCACCGCCCGTGCCTTCAGTGCTGCAAACAGCCAACAGACCCCGACCTCTGCCGCAGCCGCCCCCGCCAGCGCGTGGCCACTGTGCCTTAACCGCTCAGGGCTAGGTAGGGCGTGGCCAGCCGGCCCCCTGTGGGCAGAGCACTGGCCGCTGTCTCTGTCTTGCTGAGTGAAACCTTCTCTTCCTGCCTTCATGGGGTTGGCTCAGGATCCCCACACTTACGGAGCAGGGGTCGGGCCTGGTGCTCAGAGCCCCCACCACACACACACTTACGGAGCAGGGGCCGGGCCTGGTGCTCAGAGCCCCCCACCCACACACACACACTTACGGGGCAGGGGCCCGGCCTGGGCCTGGTGCTCAGAGGCATCTTTGAGGCACTATCGCCTTTTCACTGCACCGTTTTGCACTTAGAACTGCCGATCTCAGGGGAGTGGCTATGGGGGTACACGGGGTGTGGTGGGATCGGGGGGCTGTGCTGTATGAACGGCTGTGTGTATCCCCTGGGCTCAGACAAGTGACCGGGGCCTGTTTACTTTGCCTCCAATTAAAGGGCTTTGGTCTCCTCTTGGGCGTGGAGCTCTGGTCCGTGCGCCTGCCGCAGCCCGGGGTGGGCGAAGGCGGCGTGTGGCTGGATCAGAGGGGATGGTGTCACAGGTTCATAGATCGTGCCCACTCCTGGCCCCGTGCAGTCCATGGGGGGAACCTCCTTCAGTGTGACAGCCCTTCTCGGGTCCACTCTCTCTGGGGGGTCCAGCCCCTCCCCCTTTCTGAGCCACAGCACGTCTGTCTCTGCTTGCGCTCCCTCAGGGAGTCCCCTCGCTCTGCACCCCCCGAAGGGGACGATGCCCCCTGTTCTCTAGCCTGGAGTGACTCTCAGTCAGCGTCACAGAGGAGGGTTATTGAGAGTTGAACACAGCACGGGAAACTCTCGGGCCTCGGGCCTGGCCCCCCTCAGCCCAGCACATCCCAGTCTCCCCTGCATCTAGGGGGGCTCTGCCTGCTCCCCCTCTCCAGCCCTGAGCCCCCCTGCTTCCT